GTTCCCATGTCCCCTTCCCAGGGGTGAGCGCCCTCCGCTGCCGTCCCGGATGCCTGGGTCCCATCTCCCCTCCCCAGAGGCGAGCACCCTCCGCTGCCGTCCCGGATGCCTGGGTCCCATCTCCCCTCCCCAGAGGCGAGCACCCTCCGCTGCCGTCCCGGATGCCTGGGTCCCATCTCCCCTCCCCAGAGGCGAGCGTCCTGCTCTGCTCTCCCGGACGCCTGGGTCCCATCTCCCCTCCCCAGGGGCGAATGTCCTGCTCTGCTCTCCTGGTTGCCTGGGTCCCCTATTCCCAGTGAACAGTTCGCTCTCCGCTTCTCTACATAATATTTAATGCCCCTTCGCCCTCCTGCCCCTCCCTCCCAAAGTGTTGGCCAATCTCAGTGGCCAACGTAGCCATCCCCTCCCACAATCCTTGGCGGCGGCGGCTCTGTCCTCTTCCCAGCATGCCTTGTGTCTCGCTCAGCCCAGCCACCTCCCCAGAGCCAGCCCCAAGGAAAGGCCCAGGGGCCGCCACGGGCAGGGGCGGGGGCCTCCGGCGACCTCCGGCTCTGTCTTTTGGGGGGCGGAGCCCAGCCTGGTGGGGGTGGCCTTCTGGGGCCTCAGGGGTCTCCCCACTGCTGCGGTGGCCTCATCCATCCAGGCCCGGTAGTTGGCCACGCGGGTGTAGACGCCCGGACGCTGGCGCCTCCCGCAGCCCCGGCCCCAGCTCACGACGCCCACCTGGTACCAGGGGGAGCCCTGGGGGGCCTGGCACTGCAGGGGCCCCCCGCTGTCACCCTGGAACGAGAGAACGAGTCAGCCAACGAAGGAGGAAAACGAACCAGCAAGAAACCGAGAGGCCGAACAAAGGAAGAAATGAATCAACTATTGAGCGAGGAAAGAAGCAAATGAGGACGAGACTCAACGAGCGAGAAAAGCAGGAAACGAACGAGAGAACGAGGCGACGAACGAGCAGACGAGTCAATTAACAAACTGACAAGGGGGAGAAAAATGGAGAAAATGACTCAATGAATGAACAGGGGAGAAAACAAACCAATGAGAAAAACGAGGCCACGAACGAACTGACGAGAAAAGGAGTCGGGGACAGAAGGAGAAAACGAACGAAGAAACGAAGGAGAAATGGAGGCAATGGACGAGCATCGAAGGAGAAGCCGGGTCACCGAGAAAGCGAAGGAACGAGACGCGGGCTGAATGGACGAAGGAGAAAACGCAAGAACGCGCCAGCGAGAACCAACAAACCAACCAGGGAGGAAGCAAAGGAAGCGACAGAGGAAGGAGGAAAGACACGAGGGAGGAAGCGAC